GGGACTAGCCCTCTGTTGCCCATCCACCTGAAAGTTACTCATCGCTCGAGAGCGGTCTAGTGGGCTCCATGCGTGGCACTAGGCCTCTCGACCCAACCTGCCAGGTTATTGGGCCTCCATGGTACCATGGTGAGTCGCACAACGACCCGTACAGCTCCCTCGCGGGATAACTGCGATTGGCAACAAGGCCACACACGGAGATAAGAGAGTAAACTCTCACTGGCTTCCCTGTCCGAAGATCTTATGCATGGTGACGAAATTGTGGCCGATGTCCCAAGGTGCAAGCCATCTGGAGCGTTCGGACTTGAAATTATTTGAGGACCGAGGATTCCGGGTTTTGAGGGTACATGATGTCACAAGCAGTGTAGTGGATACCAGCTGCAACAACTTGCCCAGGTACTCCACGCGCAGGTACGTTTTCCTGCCCGATGACATAGAGCTTCGTTGGCGCGAGCTATGTCAAAACACCACACACAACACACACACACACACACACACCCACACACACACACACACACACACACACACACACACACACACACACACACACACACACACACACACACACACACACACACACACACACACACACACACACACACACACACCAATCCCCACAAAGGTTTGTTTCCTGAACGGGTTGTCCCGGGGCCCCCCTGGGACGGTTGTCCCGGGGCCCCCCCGGGACAGGTTGTCCTGGGGCGTCCCGGGGTGTCCCGGGGCCCCCCTGGGACAAATGTCCCGGGGCCCTCCCGGGACAGCCCTGGGACAGATGTCCCGGGGCCCCCCCGGGACACCCCGGGACACCCCCAGGACAATGTCCCGGGGCCCCCCCGGGACGCCGAAATTCCAATTTTTCGGCGTGTGGTCCGTTTCGTTTTCTGCGTTTTCCAGGCGTTTTTTTACGGTTTTCCTCGACCGACGCGGCAGCCAAAAACCGCTTGCTGGTCCAGAAACTGCGTGTTTTTGGTGTTTTCTGCGTTGGTTGCGGTGCCACGCTTGTACGATTCAGTAGCCATGCCTATACGAACCCGCAAGATGCGATCCCGGATTTCCTGCCCGCGCCTGGCTTCGCGCCGTTTTGTGCCCCACGGCCCGGTTTTTCTCTATCTACTTTAAGCGTTTTTGCGTCGATTTTTGTGTTTCCCTTAAGGTTGGGGCGCAGTCTCCCTACAAAACCTCCTGTGGGTAAGTATGCTAGATGTCGTTTTGGAAAACGTTTCCTGTTTTTAACTTAGGCCTTTGATTCCTGCCGCGGGAGGTTTTGGACGAAACACGAAATTTTCTCTCATTTTGCCGCCTCTTGGCAGCACCTAGCCATGCATGACCTTCACTTGCAGCCACCTGCCCAGCAGTATTGGACAGTCCTAGTGATGTGTCTCTCAGGTCTGGATGCTTCACGACTCTTCAGAGTCGACGGCGACATTGGTAATTGGCATTGGGGATCCGGCCACAGGTACCGCTCTGCACTCGTCTAAATGCAGTGTCCAGTCCTTCTACTCTTTAAATGTGATGCGCATGGTTAGGGCTGCTGCGAACATGTCCTGTGCAGTTAGGTGCCACATGCCTTGGACGAGGACGAGAGTCACGACGAGCCCCTGTGGCGGAAAGCCCTAGTTGTGCTTGTTCTTGCTGCTATTGTTCTTGCTTCGAGCTCCCAGGGGCCAGCTTTTGAGTTGAGACCCTTGCGATCGCTTGCTGTGAGCTCCCAGGGGTTAGTTTTTAGAGTTTAGACCCTTTTAATCGCTTGCTTCGAGCTCCCAGATGCCAGCGTTTAGAGTTTAGACCCTTCTAATCGCTTGCTGCGAGCTCCCAGGGGCCAGTTTTCACAGTTAAGAAGACTCTTCTAATCGCTTGCTTCGAGCTCCCAGGCGCCAGTTTTCAGAGTTTAGACCCTTCTCATCGCTTTCTGCGAGCCTGCAGGGGCCAGCTTTAAGAGTTTAGATCCCTGTAGTCACTTACTTCAAGCCCCCGGGGGCAAGTTTTTGGAGTTTTTTACCCTTATAATCGCTAGCTGCGAACTCGCAGGAACCAGTTTTCACTGTTCGGACCCTCTAATCGCTTGCTTCGAGCTCCCAGGGGCCAGTTTTCAGAGTTTAGACCCTTCTGATCGCTTGCTGCGAGCTCCCAGCGGCCAGTTTTCACGTTCAGACCTCTTTAATCGCTTGCTTCGAGCAGTTTCAGGAACTTAGACCCTTCTAATCGCTTGCTTCGAGCTCCCAGGGGCCAGTTTTTGAGTTGAGACCCTTGCGATCGCTTGCTGTGAGCTCCCAGAGGTTAGTTTTTAGAGTTTAGACCCTTTTAATCGCTTGCTTCGTTTCAGGGGCCAGTGTTTACAGTTTAGACCCTTCTAATCGCTTGCTGCGAGCTCCCATTCACAGTTAAGAAGACTCTTCTAATCGATTGCTTCGAACTCCCAGGGGCCAGTTTTCCAAATCGCTTGCCAGTTGACTGCTTTATATTTCGGCGGAATGGCCTCTTGGTTGAAAAGAGAATCCATAGAGGGCCATGGTTGCGGATTATCGTGCTCCAAAGGGGGGGCGGGGGGGGGGGGGGGGGGGGGGGGGGGGGGGTCAGGGGTGGCGGTTGGAAACACGCAGGGGGGGGGGGGGGTGCCCGGAGAGGGGGGGGGGGGGCCCAAAAAACACCCCGCGTCACGGGGGGTCACGGGGTGTCACGGGGGGGGGCCCGTGACACTTGTCACGGGGGGGGGCCCCGTGACCCCCTGTGACGCTGTCACGGGGGGGGCTGACCTTTCGCGACCCCCCGTGACAGGGGATTTTTCCGGGATTACCCTTAGAGCCCAGGGAGCAAAATCAGGAATAACCTCGGCATTTGCTCGTATTTTCAAAAACGCGAAAAACGGAAAATCACTCCCCGAGCACGTTTTTGGAGATACTTTAGTGCCGTTTTCGCGTTTTCGTGCTTCGCCCGAATTTTGTCCTGTTTTCCCTAGGCAAAACGCATGACTTTTTCGAGCTCGGCCCTTTTCGTGTCGTTCGGCGTCAAAAACGCCCCGTGGGCACGGCGTATGGCAATCTTTTCCGTCGCGTTTTTGAATGTTTTTTACAAAACAATATTAATTGGTGGCGCAGTCCCACCTCACACTGTAACACGTCTAGGTATGCACACTCGCGCCTTGGCAAACTTAATTCTTACTCTGCGTTTTGTCCTTAGCGGTTTTCGGGCTTAGGTGTTTTCACTAATGATTCTTCGTAGTCTGCCTCGAGTAGTTTAAGAGCCTGTCGCTCAGGCGCACGACGTGGGCGAATTCGGCGTCTGTGAGCATACCATCCGGAGTGCCTTGACTGGACAAAACGTAAGTGAGTAAGGAAGTAGGCAAGGAAGTAAACAAGCAAGTAATGATGTAAGTAAGAAAGTAAGTAAGTAAGTAAGTCAGTAAGTAAGAAAGAAACCATACGTATTGCGTAGTGACTATCAAGCAGCAGGCAACAAGTCAAAGGTAATACATAATGCACATGAAGCAGCGAGCAATAAGTAATAATACAATATAAGTGATATAATCAAGGATAAGTAGCATGGACCATATACTGAATAATATACATAACACTTGTCGTGACAGCAGTAGTAGTAGTAGTAGTAGTAGTAGTAGTAGTAGTAGTAGTAGTAGTAGTAGTAGTAGTAGTAGTAGTAGTAGTAGTAGTAGTTGTTGTTGTTGTTGTTGTTGTTGTTGTTGTTGTTGTTGTTGTTGTTGTTGTTGTTGTTGTTGTTGTTGTCGTTGTTGTAGTTGTAGTTGTAGTTGTAGTTGTAGTTGTAGTTGTAGTTGTAGTTGTAGTTGTAGTTGTTGTTGTTGGCACCTCAACGAATCGGTATAAGTAGCTGCTCAGGTGAACGTTTGTGCTGCGGCGGTGGCGTGAGCATAGCTCCCGCTGACGGCGTCACCCTTCCCAGGGTTCGACATAAAGTCACGGCAGGCGCAAAAATGGATGTGCTGCAAGCAGCTGCAAGCATCTGCTCTTGTGAGAGGCAAGGAAAGGGTGTGCAATGGCTCGTGAGGCATGCTAGAACTAAATTGGCGAAGAGCCGCTGGCTCGCAGGCTTCAGTGTTCGTAGGGATCGATATAGCATCGAGTCTGATGACAGACGCGCTCGGGCCTCGGTTAGACAGTCAGAACTTGGCATTGCCAGGAATTCCTCACTATAGTCGAAAGTGACCGAAGTCAGGAGCGACATTGAGATGTCCGGCGGCTCACAAGAGGTTCCGCCACCTGTACTCCAAAGTGAGATTGCCATAGACATGTACGCTGGCAGGAAGGAGACGCTTGCTCGGAAACGTCGGCGTGGCGCGGACCCGAGCAGGGCCGCGCCAGACGTACCCAAAAATAAGAGAGTCTAGGCGGCACGTATGACTCGCAGCACGCACACATCCTGTGACCAGGGGCGTGGAAGACGTCTACGCACGTGCGTCCGGACCTCAATTAATCGAAAGCACGAGGTTCTTGATTTTCGTACGCTTGCAATCAAAGTGACTCTCGCCCAGGCAGCGATCGGCCGGGCGCCGGGCCACTCTTCGTCCTTCGCAAGAATCGCAGCTCGACCTGCCCAGCTGGCACCAGTTGGCTGTTCCACGAGTCAAACGAAGGTAGGTCAAACCATCGCTCGACCTTACTCTGCCTGCCAAGGCTCTTGCCAGATTCGGGCCAGCTCGAGATCACCGCTCGCCTTTTTGACGATTCCTGCCATCGACCGGAAGTTTTCCAAGAGCGTCTGCAGGAGATTGAGAGATTTTGGGAAAAGACGAGCTGGCCGAGCAGCTTCGCTTGCTCCACGAATATGCCGAAAATGCCGAAAGAAACGTGGACACCGTGCAACCGTCGGAACCGACGTCATCGCCCCAGCCGTCGCCGCGATGGGCCCTCAGCATCCAGCCGCAATGGTGCCAGAAGATCCTGAACGGTAGCAAGGTGTGGGAAATCAAGGGCCAGAATTGTAGAAAGCATTTGAACGAAAGGATCTGCATCGCCGAATCAAGTTCAGGCATGTTGGTGGGGGAGATGCGGATCTGCAAGAGCATGAAAGTGACACGAGAAGAGCTCCGAGACAACGTTCATCTGCATGGAATCGAGGACCTAACCAGCCTGCAGTCTGCCAATATTTACGCGTGGGTACTCGAGGATGTGAAGGCTTACAAAAAGCCTTTCCCCTGCAGCAGAAAAGCCGGCAGGGGATGGGTGGATCTTAGACCTCCGTCTCCTCGGCCTCGCCAGACAGAGTGCCAGAATCCAGATTGTCGTTTCGGCCTCACCAAGCAGAGCATTCGAGGCAGGCCGTACACCCGGCCCGCAGACGGCGTCAGCTTCGAGCATTGTGTCTTTTGCTCTGCGGCAGCATTCGAAGCGGCTCTGCAAGAGAGAGCAGGACGTCAGATCAAGAGATGGCTGGGTCAGTTGGCCAACGCCAACGACGGCCGTCACAACGAGGCGCTCCAGCGCATTGAGGAAATGCATGGAGCACATATGGTGGAGCGCTTTGCTCCAGAGCAGCCCAAACGGAATGCCCTTCCTCGAAGTTCCTGGAAGAGCTGTTTGGCGTACCGCCAGGCTACTGTGCAAGTTTCCGACGCAGATCGAGACGCCTATAAGGCCCAACAGCGCCGGCAGAAGACGCGCTTGCAAAACAAATTTCCGGCAGTTTATGGAGAAGATGCTCGAGAGGAGAGTCATTGGATGCCTTCCCGTGCCGTCGCATTTCGTAAGTGGTGCCTCGATGACTCGTGGCGTATGTGCAGCTGCTGTGGGCGCATGGTGCCACAATGCTTTCGCGCCAAGCATGCCAAGGGCAAGGCTACTGCATCTCCCGAATTCCCCGCCTGTGGATACTGCAAATCGAACGGGTCCACCGGATACTGGGCTCCGACTCCGGCAGACATCCCGGGGCGCCTGCGCAAGCTGTCTTCGCAAGTCGTCGAGGCTCTGAGGCCCTTCGACATCCACACCGGTGGAGTATTCCGGCCGCCCAACGGCTACTTGGTGCACAACGACATGATGCGGTTCTCCTTCAAAACCTCGTCGGTGGAAGACAACATTGCCAAGCTCCCGAAGAAGCAGCGCAAGCGTGGACAGAAAGCGCTGGCGTATCTCTTGCAGGACGACTGCCCTTCTCACTATCGTCGGTTTTGGCAGCTGCACCAACGCAGCCTTTGGAGCAGGGCGAAAGCAATCGAGCGAGGAGACATCCGGTCCGGCACGCCCACGAAGCGACTGCCGACGAACTTCATCGAGACAGTCGGCATAGAATGCGCTCTGTGGCCGCACCTGTACTGGTGTGTAGAGATGACGGAGACCTACGTGCGATCCCAAGATGCCCGAAGACTGCAACGCCGTCGCAGGTTGCAAATGGAGGACAGCAACAGCGAAGACGCAGACTTGGTCGACCCGGCGTCTGGAAGAGCATCGCGACAAAGTGCCAAGGCCAGCTACCTGGCCAAAGCTCACTCCGCAGTGATCGGCTACAGCACGGATTCTCAGCTCCTCCACTTCGTCTATGACCTTTGGCTATTCACCACCATCGGCGGGGCCAAAAACAGTGCCGGAACCGGCAGCATACGGGAAGCTTTGGCGACAAAGCCCTACTCGCCGGAGATGTGGCGCACCTACCATGCGGCGCTGGTGGACCTGCAGAGGCAGATAGGGTGGCCGAGCCTTTTCATCACGGTCGCCCCTTACGAATGGTCTTTCCCATACCACCAGTGGCTGGAGGACGAACTCACGAAGACCCTGAGCGCCAGACTCGAGATGCCCGTGGCAGAGACGTTGCATTTGGCTCACATCCTCACTCAAGCAGTGAAAGGTCTTCTCACCGGGGCCAATGAAGGGTTGCACCCAAAACGAGAACACGTTTTCTGCGCCGCCGACGGACCTGGCAAGGTTCGTCACTGGGTGGCCAGGCTGGAGTTTCAAGACGGGAAGCGCAAACGTCATGTCTTTCGAGATGGTCAGTTTTACCACGGACGAGGTGCTCTCCACGTGCACATCCTTCTCTGGCTGAAGGACATGCAATGCATGGACCTGTCCTCCAAAATTCGAGCCGATATGCCGGGCGAGGACGAGAAGGAGATGCGCGACCTCGTGGTGGGCTCGCAGCTGGACTACACCTCGAGTGGATGGCCGGTTCGCGAGGAGCCCACCAAAGTGATAGAGGCAGAGCAGCGACTGCAGCTTCACCACCCGCAGGAAGCTTTTCAACGAAGATGTCGCGCCTATCTGCCAGACGTACTGGCTGCCCTTCACTGCCACGTGGATGTGCTGGCATCGGATGGACGAGCCATGGTGTTGAAGTACTGCACCAGCCTCTTGTCTGAATAAGCAACACTTAGACTTAGATCGTCTAGTTACGAGTCTTGTCAACATCTCTCTGGCACGACAACCGCTCCCAATGTTTGACTTAACACCTTCCGACGGCAGGCTACCTGCCGAAATTCAGCAGCTCATTCGCGACAGAGCTGCTCAACAACGAGGCGACCGACTTCTCTTTGGCAAGGCGAGTTCTAGCGGATTACCATCCGCTCCAACCGGAAATGATCATGCAGCTCGCGGCACAACAGCATCCGCAGTTTCTCTGTCCCGCGACTGTGCGCAAGTTCGTAGTTCCTGTTCCGTGGCAGAAAGACTTGCCGCAGATCGTGCAGAGCTACATGTCGAGCACGTGGAGGCGAGACAACATGAGCCTCCTCGACTTTCTGCGTAAGTCGGGAGCCGACGGGCAAATTTCGCAGAGGTATCGTCGCACGCACAGCGCGAGCAAGATCGGCATGCCCCTCAACGATTGGATCAATGTCCACCCGGCAGATGGCAAGACTTTGGTCGCCAGCATGATGTATGCCCACACCAACGATCGCCACTACGGCCAATGGCTGCTGCTCAACATGCCCTTCCGCGCCATCGACGACCTCTGGCACCCGCAGGCGGACCTCCTGCCAGATAACCTGCGCTATTTGGGTCTTTGTGTTCTGCATCGCCCTCGCTTTTGGCGAAGTCCCGAGCAAATCCGCTCCGAACTAGAAAAGGAGGCCCGAACCAACACGTACATTCAAAACACGCTCGCCATGCTGGCAGCGAGGATCGAGCTGATCGACGCCTACCTCTCCGGGGAAATGACGGTAGACAAGACACCGGCCCCCGCGCTGCACGGCGTTGCGAACGTGGCTGGAGAGGCAATTCAACTGGCGCCGGAGCAGGCAAATGTCGTAAACACCATTAGCGACCGAGTCCGACACGCGTTGCTGGCGAAATGGCCTGAAGATCGTGAAGTCGACGGTTGGGCCACTTGGCTGGAGCACGACGTTGCTGTCAACATAGCAACAGTCGTACTGGGACCGGCCGGAAGCGGAAAGAGCACGGCGGTAGAGATCGCTTTGGATCGAGCCGTGCAAGCAGGTGCTCACGTTGGAGTGGCGTGTCCAACAGGTATGCTGGCCACCCGATACAGAGCCCGCCACCCTCACCTGGACATCGACACCGTGCATGGCATGTTCGCGTTGCACAAAGACGAGCTCGCAACCGCAGATATGATGAAGCTCTACGACCTGCTCGTTATCGACGAGATTGGACAGCTTCCGACTTGGATCTTCGACAGGCTGCTTCGACTCTGGGATGCTGCCGACAGGCGACCAGCTTTGGTGTTCGTGGGCGACTTCTGCCAGCTGACGGGGGTGGATGACACCACGGCAAGAGACAGCCCGAGATGGAAGGACATGCACATCTTGAACCTGCGAGAGATGCGTCGTTGCAAGTGCGAGCGACTGAGATGGAAGTTGCAACTGCTGCGAAGTGCGATACCTAGCGGGGAACAACTAAGAAAGATTCTGAAAGGCCATCGCGCAAATCTTCGAAGTCGACCTGGTGCCGGCAACAGAATCAGTCCGGATGACGTCAGAGTCATTCTGAAGGAGACCCCCAACACCACATTGGTAACGATTTCCCGGAAAGGATCCGCCCGACTCAATCAGTTCGCATTGCAGGCTCTCTTTGCAAACGCAGAAGTCCTGGATTTCATACCGTGTGATCCCCAGGAGAACTTCGAGAATTTCTATGGCACACAGCAGGTGGATGCGCAGCCCTTCTGGATGCCGGTCTACGAAGGCATGCGCGTGACCATCACCAGGAACACGGACAAGGAGAACGGCTTCGTCAACGGCATGAGCGCAACTGTTCAGTGTATGAGGCGAAGTGGCGTACAGGTGAAAACCGACGAGGGCAAGATTCTCCTGATTCACCCGATCATGCACGAAAACTACTTGTTCGACGGATCCTACCGCAAAACGACCGCCTTCCCCTTGCGTTTGGGTTACAGCACGACATTGCACAAGGTTCAGGGAGCCACTTTGCCCCACATTACCCTGTGGATGAACGTTCCCTTCATCCGTGCAGCTCTGTATGTCGCCCTGTCACGAGTACAATATGATCGTGATTGGCGTTTCATAGGCTCTATCGATAGGCGACATTGTCTGCCGGCAGCAATATGATGACAAGGAGCATAACATGATAGAGCAAGAGCATGTTGTTGTTAGAGGACGCCGGCGCATGGAGTTGGCGTCTATAATCCACCAGGACTACGGAGCGGATGGAATCCCCGTAGCCCGCAGCTCCAAAACAAACCCTGCTCGGCGCAGTCTCACAAAGACGCGCGTGAAAGAAAGCGCCTGCGTCTTCGCGCAGCCTGTAGCAGAGCAACGCTGGTGCCTCGATAAGCTCCGGTAAAGATACAGAAACACAGAAGCCGCAGCCATCCACGGTTCGTCATGTAGACCTCGTCGGTGTGTCTGCAACCATCAAGACCATGGCCTGCAGCATCACACTAGCACAAGTGAAATCGCCTCGAGATCTAACATTTCTTCCAGGTCCATGATCACGCTGTGGGGCAATGGCGTTGTTGATGAAACAGCCACAGCTCGAGAGCCGGGGACTGAGGTCCATGCATCAAGGGTCCAAATGCTTCTCCTAAACCCTATTTGTTTTGAATTTAACCCATTCATTCGGAAATTAACCCTAAATCATACGCCTACACCCTACTTGTTCAGGATTCGCCTTAAACCTTATTCCTAAGCCGTGTTCGAGCTGTAACTATGATGAAATTCGAAGCAGGTTTCATTCCCTCATTTTCCAGTGTTTGGCTCGACGCAGGCCCTAACCCCTATTCGTTTGGGTTTAAGCCCTAAATCCTAATTCGTTTAGGATTTAGTGGGAATTTAGACCCTAAACCCTAGTCGCTAATTAAACCCTCTTCTTTAGGATTTAAGCCCTAAATCCTATTCTGGGCCCTAAATCCTATTCGCTAAACCCTAATCTTTATGATTTAGGCCCTAAATCCTATTCGTTTAGCGTTTAGCGGGTCCGGGAATACCCCAGGATCGGCCGGAAAGTGGTCGATTCGTAAGATGTTTTAGTACAGAATTCACATGGCGGAAATGACCCCCCAATTCTCCAGACTTCTGAGCTCTAAACCCTCGTCCCTGAACCCTTGTTGCTAAACCCTCGTCGTCTAGGATTTAAGTTCTAAACCCTCGTCGTTTAGGATTTAGGCCCTAAACCCTCGTCGCTAAACCCTCGTCGTTTAGGATTTAGGCCCCTAAACCCTCGTCGTTTAGGATTTAGGCCCTAAACCCTCGTCGCTGAACCTTCGTCGTTTAGGATTTATTTACGCCCTAAACCCTCGTCGTTTAGGATTTAGGCCCTAAACCCTCGTCGCTAAACCCCCTCGTCGTTTAGGATTCAGCCCTAAACCCTCGTCGCTAAACCCTCGTCGTTTAGGATTTAGGCCCTAAACCCTCGTCGTTTAGGATTTAGCCCTAAACCCTCGTCGCTAAACCCTCGTCGTTTAGGATTTAGGCCCTAAACCCTCGTCGCTGTAGGATTTAGCGAATAGGATTTAGGCCCCCATGGGCGGTGCCCGAGGATCGGCCGGAAAGTGGTCGATTCGTAGGATGTTTTAGTACAGAATTCATATGGCGGAAATGACCCCCCAATTTTCCAGATTTCTGAGCTTTAAACCCTCGTCCCTAAACCCTCGTTGCTAAACCCTCGTCGTTTAGGATTTAGGCCCTAAACCCTCGTCGTTTAGGATTTAGGCCCTAAACCCTCGTCGCTAAACCCTCGTCTTTTAGGATTTAGGCCCCTAAACCCTCGTCGTTTAGGATTTAGGCCCTAAACCCTCGTCGCTAAACCCTCGTCGTTTAGGATTTAGCCCTAAACCCTCGTCGCTAAACCCTCGTCGTTTAGGATTTAGGCCCTAAACCCTCGTCGTTTAGGATTTAGCCCTAAACCCTCGTCGCTAAACCCTCGTCGCTGTAGGATTTAGCGAGTAGGATTTAAGCCCCCATGGGGGGTACCCCAGGATCGGCCGGAAAGTTGTCGATTCATAAGATGTTTTAGTACAGAATTCATATGGCGGAAATGGCCCCCCAATTTTCCAGATTTCTGAGCTTTAAACCCTCGTTCCTAAACCCTTGTTGCTAATACCTCGTCGTTTAGGATTTAGGTTCTAAACCCTCGTCGTTTAGGATTTAGGCCCTAAACCCTCGTCGCTAAACCCTCGTCGTTTAGGATTTAGGCCCCTAAACCCTCGTCGTTTAGGATTTAGGCCCTAAACCCTCGTCGCTGAACCTTCGTCGTTTAGGATTTAGCCCTAAACCCTCGTCGCTAAACCCTCGTCGTTTAAGATTCAGGCCCTAAACCCTCGTCGTTTAGGATTTAGCCCTAAACCCTCGTCGCTAAACCCTCGTCGTTTAGGATTTAGGCCCTAAACCCTCGTCGCTGTAGGATTTAGCGAATATAGGATTTAAGCCCCCATGGGGAGTACCCCAGGATCGGCCGGAAAGTGGTCGATTCGTAAGATGTTTTAGTGCAGAATTCATATGGCGGAAATGACCACCCAATTTTCCAGATTTCTGAGCTCTAAACACTCGTCGTTTAGGATTTAGGCCCTAAACCCTCGTCACTTAGGATTTAGGCCCTAAACTCTCGTCGTTTAGGATTTAGGCCCTAAACCCTCGTCGTTTAGGATTTAGCCCTAAACCCTCGTCAGTAAACCCTCGTCGTTTAGGATTTAGGCCCTAAACCCTCGTCGTTTAGGATTTAGCCCTAAACCCTCGTCGCTAAACCCTCGTCGTTTAGGATTTAGGCCCTAAACCCTCGTCGCTGTAGGATTTCGCGAATAGGATTTAGGCCCCCATGGGGGGTACCCGAGGATCGGCCGCAAAGTTGTCGATTCGTAAGATGTTTTAGTACAGAATTCATATGGTGGAAATGACCCCCCAATTTTCCAGATTTCTGAGCTTTAAACCCTCGTCCCTAAACCCTCGTTGCTAAACCCCCGTCGTTTAGGATTTAAGCCCTAAACCCTCGTCGTTTAGGATTTATTTAGGCCCTTAACCCTCGTCGCTAAACCCTCGTCGTTTAGGATTTAAGTCCCTAAACCCTCGTCGTTTAGGATTTAGGCCCTAAACCCTCGTCGCTAAACCCTCGTCGTTTAGGTTTTAGCCCTAAACCCTCGTCACTAAACCCTCGTCGTTTAGGATTTAGGCCCTAAACCCTCGTCGTTTAGGATTTAGCCCTAAATCCTCGTCGCTAAACCCTCGTTGTTTAGGATTTAGGCCCTAAACCCTCGTCGCTGTATGGGGGGTACCCCAGGATCGGCCGGAAAGTGGTCGATTCGTAAGATGTTTTAGTACAGAATTCATATGGCGGAAATGACCCCCCAATTTTCCAGATTTCTGAGCTCCAAACCCTCGTCGTTTAGGATTTAGGCCCTAAACCCTCGTCGCTTAGGATTTAGGCCCCTAAACCTCGTCATTTAGGATTTAGGCCCTAAACCCTCGTCGCTAAACCCTCGTCGTTTAGGATTTAGCCCTAAACCCTCGTCGTTTAGGATTTAGGCCCTAAACCCTCGTCGTTTAGGATTTAGGCCCTAAACCCTCGTCGTTTAGGATTTAGGCCTGAACCCTCGTCGCTGTAGGATTTAGCGAATAGGATTTAGGCCCCCATGGGGGGTACCCCAGGATCGGCCGGAAAGTGGTCGATTCGTAAGATGTTTTAGTACAGAATTCATGTGGCGGAAATGACCCCCCAATTTTCCAGATTTCTGAGCTTTAAACCCTCATCCCTAAACCCTCGTTGCTAAACCCTCGTCGTTTAGTATTTAGGCCCTAAACCCTCGTCGTTTAGGATTTAGGCCCTAAACCCTCGTCGCTAAACCCTCGTCGTTTAGGATTTAGGCCCCTAAACCCTCGTCGTTTAGGATTTAGGCCCCTAAATCCTATTCGTTTAGGATTTAGCGGGTCCGGGAATAGGATTTAGCGAATAGGATTTAAGCCTCCGTGGGGGGTACCCCAGTATTCGGGAAAAAGTGGCCGATTCCTAATTAATTTTAAATAGAATTCATATGGCAGAAATGACCCCATCATTTTCAAGATTATTGGCTCTAAACCCTATTCGTTTAGGATTTAAGCCCTAAACCCTATTCCTAAACCCTATTCTTTAGGATTTAGGCCCTAAACCCTATTCCTAAACCCTATTCTTTAGGATTTAGGCCCTAAACCCTATTCGCTAAACCCTATTCTTTAGGATTTAGGCCCTAAACCCTATTCCTAAACCCTATTCTTTAGGATTTAGGCCCTAAACCCTATTCCTAAACCCTATTCTTTAGGATTTAGGCCCTAAACCCTATTCGCTAAACCCTATTCTTTAGGATTTAGGCTCTAAACCCTATTCGCTAAACCCTATTCTTTAGGATTTAGCCCCCCAAATCGTTTAGAATTTGGGCAGGGGGTGAGGTTTTAGGGTATTAATTATATTATAGGCAGTACTGCCTTCGACCCAATGCTTAGCGATGGCACGGCCGAAACGTTACAGTGCGACAGTGTTTGACCACGTGGCAAGTGCTCTGTCTGTGCGAATGCCTTCAGAAGCCGAAAAGGCAGCGGGTTCGGTGGGCGGGGGCGCGAAGCCCCGCCCACCACCGCTGAGTTTAGGGTTTAGGGTTTAGGGTTTAGGGTTTAGGGTTTAGGGTTTAGGGTTTAGGGTTTAGGGTTTAGGGTTAGGTTTTAGGGTTTCGGGTTTAGGGTTTCGGGTTTAGG